AAAAAAAAGATCTTGCAAAGTTGGAATTGATTGATTGAACTTTTTAGTCCCACCCAGTCTGTCGTTACCACTGCAGCCACGACCACCCAATTGGCCACACCCACCCAATGGGCCACACCTACCCGGCACTTGACGATGCATAAGTGGGTTTTGGGTTGCAGTTTGGGCACTCGGTCTCTAAAAGGTTCGCCATCACTGGGTTAGTGGAACAAAAAGGGCAGGCAAAGAACACACTGGCTTGATAACATCAAATCTGATACAAAGTCGAACATCCAGCAGTTGAAAGAAGCTTTGCTTGACAGGATAGCATGGAGAGCACTTGCTTATAAAGTTGCCAAGAGTGAGACACAACTAAATGGTTAAAACAACAGCAAATGCCAAAAAGGGCAAGAAACATTTAGGACTTTTGCTAAAAGATTTTGGGGAAATTAAATTAATAAATAATACCTTCATGGGAATACTATTTTATTTAGTCTATCCAAATAACAGAGATATAAGTCTTTTTATGATTTCAGAAATTACACACTAGAAGGGATTAAAGACTCGTCACGAAGGGAAAAAGACTGCTTCCAGTTTTTGAATTGGAGAGTAAGTATTGGATTAGAGAAAATGACAGATAATGTTGTGAAATGTGAATCATTTCAAGATACTTGAAAAATGGGGACTGGTGTAGCTGCAATGTCAGAAATGTTTGCTTATATGAATATATAATTTAGAAAAGAATAAAGGAAAGATGTAACGAAAAAGCTTTGAAAGACCTACATGATGAAGACATGAAAAAGCATGGGCAGATTTACTAGAAAATAAAGAAATACAAGATAGAGACAGCAGTTAATACGGAAATACAAATAACAAGCCAAGATAATGTCCTGGATAACAACGTCTTGATGGATTAACAAAAGAGGTTTGTTAAAGCCTTGAAGCAACTTTAGAGATGGAAAAGAAAAGGGAAGGAAGATCAAAATCTAAAACAGCATTTGAACTGATCAAAATCTACCATTGTTAGTATTTAAAACCAATTTGTTTTATCAGGATTAAAACAAGATAATTTGATAAATTTCTGTAACTCTTTATGAACTTTTTGATGACAACTGGAAAGTTAATGATTTATGGATTTACAAATGGATAAGAGGTGAGCTGTGGGAAGAGATATATGCATGCAAGGGGGAAGAAATATTAAGTTTGTGATAAAGATTAAAGTCATTTCTTTATTTTTTTATTTTTTTATTTTATTTCTTCTTTGCACTTTGTACTCTTTCTCCTCATTTTCTCTCTCCCTTCTGAATTTGGTTTGTATTATCTTTATTTTTAAAACTGCATAAAATTATTTTAAAAAATTAATTATTCTATCAACAAGATTTGAGAGGGGAGAGAGTGTCTGTGAAATATATGTTAGATCTAAAGAGAATGTTAATTCATTTATTTCTGGCATTGTATTGATTCTTAAAATATAATCTTTAAAATAATATTTTCAGAAAACTTTGGCTATGTTGATAAGTACACAGAATTTGCCCAAATGATTGAAAAACTACAAAATGAGTAGATGGGGAGGGTAAAACTGGTAAGGTAAATTCTAGACAATAAACAACAAATATTCCCTAAATTGGCAGATTCTAATATTTCTTGAAGGGATCTGGCTGAAAGTATATTGAAAGTTTAATATGTTTAATTGACAAGAAATAACCTTTGCTAAATTAATTTGCCATCTAAAATTCCTGCCTCAATAAAAGTGAATAAAAAAATTCTTGTTCCACCTCCATCACTTCCAAGGTTTAAGATTTTATCATTGTTTACAATTCCATGTTTGAGTCAAATTGCATCCAGACTTTAAACACGCTGTGGTTTAGAAATCAGATGAGGGTACATTCATGCACTAAATTTCATGTTCCTAATCTCTTTATTTAATGAGCTGTATGAAATAATGGAATGTTCAGGGGAAAAAACAATGAATGGACCAATACAGTTCACACTTATGTTCCCCTGATTATAGTGGAGACTCAGTTATGGTAATAAACTATCTCTGACTTGGCAAATTTTTGTGATCTTCATCTTATACTGCCTACTGCTTGACATTTCATGAAAATATGTTTTCTATTAAATGCAGAAGGCACAATATAAAACCCAGAAAGATATGCTTGAATTAGCATGAGTTTGGAATGAACGTTTTTCATAAGGAAGCTTTTTAAAAAAAAATCTGAAAGGAAAATTCGAGACTTAATGCTACTAAGGAGTGCATCACACTTGGTGTAATCCAGACAATATTGGGGGCAAGTAAGTAGCTAATTTGGAGAATTGTAGAGAGAACAAGAGAAGTGTGTTAAATTACTCCTAGGGTTGCAGAAAGAAAACCCATTTTTGGTGGAAAAGTGGACCCATGTTGAAATCTCTCAAGTAAATAGATAGAAATAGAAATAGATGAGCTAATTCTACCTTATTGTAAGGCTACATTTACAGAATCTTGCAAGTCTGAAGGTACAGACTTCCTGCTGCTACTTTTATCTGCTTGATCCATTAAGGTGGGTCCTTCCTAGGTTTCTTGCTCTGACTGTTAAGCCATTCTTGTCTAACTGTTTCCTAGGCGGCCTCTTTCCCCCAAGGTCATTTTCACATCCATTACAAAATCCACCACTGCTTAGAATGAGGGATCTTAAAAACCTCACAGTCTTTCACTCTGAGCTTTTATAAAATAACTGATTGTCTAGAACAGTTAGGACTAGACTACACTTCAAGAATCTTTGGATAAGAACTTCCATGAGCGATTATTAGGTCTAGTGTGTGTAGATGATGCCTACTTTATCTAATTGTTCCAATGAATATGAACATTGTTCTTATTACAAATAGGATATATCTGAGAGAAGAGACACAATATTGGTAAGCAGAGGAATATATTAACAAGAATTTGAGAGAAAAATAAAGCAACTAATCATTCTAGTAATGTGGCTTCTTAAGCATATCGCTCTTTCACTTGCTGTCCCTCTTTTTAATTAATAAGTCTGGAATAAAAAAAGAATGGTACATTTATCCTTGTTTCTTTGGTGCTGCTATCTTATTTTTCCTGGTCATTGTTCTGTTTTTGTCATAATTTTATCAAAAATTTAAAAAAGAATAGTAAGAGATTAAAGGAAAAAAGAAAAGAAAGAAAAGTGCAAGAAAACAAAAAATTAAAAAGATCCCCTTTAAGAAAACAACTTTTCACAATCATCATGACAAATATAATTTCAAAATCTCTTTACCTTCTCTTAATTAACAGGTATAAAACTCTTCATCCCATAATACCTTTTAGTAATAAGCAAATAAAAAAAGTAAACATCTCTTTATTCAATTATTAGGAAAAAGTTCAGCGTTCTAAAATGTTAACATATATAAAACTTAACTTTTCATATCTCATCCCTTAATTGTAAGCAAAATCCCATTTAAAAGGCATAAAAAGGTCTCAATATCCTAGTGTCAATAAACAAAGCCTAAAGTTTAATACTACAAAGTCCATTTATTTTTTTAAGACACATTCCAATATACAATATTTCTCCCATTCCAAATGTCAACAATTCCAGAGAGAACCAGCCTAAACTAACAGTATGTCCTTTCAAATAAACATTCCATATCTCAATTCTAAACTATTAACAAAATAAAGTATTTCCAGCATCTTAATATAAACAAACAACTGGAATTTAGCATAACAAAAAGATAGTTTTCCTTCAAAAAATAAATCCACACATTAGTTACAAAGCGTTTAAATGCTAAAAAATTAGGATACATAAAATGGCTATAAAGTTAATGGTTTAAACATTATATAAGCTAATCCAGTATATCACATTTTTCCAATCATCAGTACATACAAACAGAACTACCCAAAATGACAGCATGTCCCATTTTGACCCTGGTCAATAGTTGTTGACCATAGAACCTACTACAAAGTTCTTCAATACAATACTTTTAAGCAGTCTCTTGTAAAT